AACACAAACCACGGTAGATTATTGGCTACTACATGTTTTGATATCTTTCTCAGGAACAAGGGGTAATTTCGTTTTAGATCAATCAGCAATTTTAGATTACTGCATGTCTAATGCCAGGCGATTTTACTCATTATCGGAACAGTATTGTCAGTTAATAAGTTAACAAAACTATCTGTCAGTGAATATTGTTCACCCATTGTCTTGCAATGCATCCAGATATGACCTACTTTAGTATCTTACTCTGTCTAATGCCAGATGATTTTACTCGTCAGTGGAAGAGTACTGTCAGTTAATAAGTTAACAAAACTATCTGTCAGTGTCTACACAAGCTTGCAATGCACCCAGATGTGACGTACGTTGAGATACACTTACTCGAAGTTTGCATTTGTTCCTTCGTGGTTGTGAATACTACTGCAATCCCGAACTTTGGTGAAACAACTTAGGACACTGAAAATCATAAATACCGGAATAGTTAGAATAGAATCAATTTCTATACGATAAAGCTATTATAATCGGGCCGTGAAATGTCATCAGGAGATTGCAATTGCATAAATGATAAATGTCATTGCTCAGTATAAAACTCTTCAATGTATTTTAGGCAATACCTTTTGCTAAATTTAGATTCTGTGATTGTGATTGTGATTGTAATTCTGTGATTTTATCGTAGCAAGGTCGACATATAGTTGTATTCGTAGTAATTGCCTTTCGGTTCTTCGTTGCAGGAACAACACTACATGGAAAAATATGATTCTGTGATTTTTGGGTTTGATCTTTAAATATCAACTATATTCCTCTCTTTATTCTATGACTATCTTTCAGTGAGGGCCGTAGCTAGACTGCTTAATTAGGGGGGGGAGGTGTATATTCATATATTCATGTTCATATACTATTGGAACAATAGCGTACAAAAGAAATCAGTCGGGCATAGGACCAATATATGAATATACACCCCCAAATTAAGCTTCTAGCTACGGCCCTGCTATGAGCAGCTATGAGCAACTATGAGCAACTATGAGCAGCTATGAGCAGCTATGAGCAGCTATGAGCAACTATGAGCAGCTATGAGCAGCTATGAGTAACTATGAGCAACTATGAGCAGCTATGAGCAGCTATGAGCAGCTATGAGCAGCTATGAGCAGCTATGAGCAACTATGAGCAACTATGAGCAGCTATGAGCAGCTATGAGCAGCTATGAGCAACTATGAGCAGCTATGAGCAGCTATGAGTAACTATGAGCAACTATGAGCAGCTATGAGCAGCTATGAGCAGCTATGAGCAGCTATGAGCGGCTATGAGCGGCTATGAGCAGCTATGAGCGGCTATGAGCAGCTATGAGCAGCTATGAGCAGCTATGAGCGGCTATGAGCGGCTATGAGCAGCTATGAGCGGCTATGAGCAGCTATGAGGATGTGTCCACGAGCAGTTATGAGCAGTTATGAGCACATGCTCATACGCTTATTGCACCAAATTGCAACCCATTTTGCCTTCAAAATCTACCCAAATCTGATATTAATACTACTTAATAGTTTGGTATTAAAAATGTCTACGAGCGGTTGAGCATGTTCTCATAAGCAGTTACGAGCAATTATGAGCAGTTATACGCATGTGCTCATCGGCTCATTCCACAAAATTGTAACCCATATTACTTTCAAGGATTATTCATTTGCGTAGACGACGTGTTAATCACACCACTTGCACACTCTGTTCATGTGGTCTCACATTCCTCTTTAGCATACCCACGTTTGTCTAATTTCGCACGCCCCTCATTTACATCCACAACGTGCTCTCTCCATGCATATCATTTGCTAGCCGGCATCATTTACATCCACAACGTGCTCTTCCCACACATTTAATTTTTCAAGCGCCTAATTTCAATTTTTAATTTATAATTTTTAATTTTTAATTTATAATTTTTAATTTTTCAATCCCGATTCGCATGGTCACGACATCAAAATTAATCATGTCAACGGGAGTTTCACCTCCAAACGTTTGGTAGTATGGTTACTTTTGCATGATCTGACAAAAAAAAAGTTCTGGGGGACAAATATACGGTAAAACAACTTAAACTGATGTCGTGACCATGCGAATCGGGTACAGTGTAAACAGGATCTCACTTGATGTGTGCAACCGAGCGAAATCTCTTCATTTACATTTCTTAAGCACCAATGTACTCATTCTAAAATGACTCATTCATTTAAACAAATGTACGGTGCTGATTTAACAACAGTGAAAACGTTAGCCAGAGATGAGATTATGGCTAACATTATAATAAAGTTCATACAGAGGAAGTTGAAATTGAAAAAATCAGCAAAAGGAGCCCAGATCGGTTGGTTGATGGATCTGCGTAAATGAGGCAAAAGCAGAGGAGAACAAAACTAAGCTTTGGCAAGCAGTTGGCAAAGCATATGATGTGCTAAGGAACCGCAAACCCACAAAACAGAATTTGAACTAATATTCGCGCTGCCATACTTGCAATTGATGGACGTATACTCGGCAGAAAGGAAGTAATTTAGCAAAATGTTTAGAGTATTTCTTGGACTATATTTTTTGTGTTTGTGAACCGAAATATTCCATGTAAGAATAGTCGGGTTTTTTTAAAAAAAAAAGTTTATAGCTACTATATTAAAATTATAAAACGCTTCTTGGCTGGGGTAGATCTCCGTGAACGAGGCAAAGGCAGAAGAAATTTGTGAATTATCTTTTAAATTTTATAACATATTAAAATAATTGTAAATGATCTCATTTACACTCTAAATGCATCCTACTGTACACATGTTCAATGATTGATTCCTATTCACGTGATGGAAAATCTCCATCCCACATGATCTATGATCCCTGTTCACATGTACCTCATGGTCATTGTCCACATGAATCATGACTTCTTTGTTCACATGATCCAAGACCCATGCCCACGTGCAAACGCATGGTCTTTGTCCACGTGAATCGTGATTTTTGTTCACGTGAACCTATTGTGTCGGCACCCTTTGCTAGCTATATGGGGGGGGGGTTATCTACTTAGAGTGTTCACGATGTAAATCCTGTTATGTCGGCAAAACACGTCGTCATTTACTCAACCGTATTAAGGAGCATCGGAATAAGAGTACTCCTGTGAGAAATCACTTTGAATCATGTAATTGCACTCTGACATTGGATGATGTAACCATATTAGCCAGTTCAACTGATAAGATCAATTACACTCTTGTAATGACTTTACAAGTGTTGTGGATAAATTCTATCAAACCATCCTTAAATACAAAGGATGAGTATAGAAGCCGCACACTGGTTATTAAGTTGTAGATTAGCTTACTGTTTATATGCAATGTGTAAATTTCAAAGGATGTATGAACTTGGACAATCGAACAATTAGTCAACAAGTAATTATTCTTAATATTTAATTAGGTTTTTAGTTAGGTTATTATGGTAAGAATATTTAAATGGTTTGCCGTTTGTACGCTGGTTATTTTAGACCTGAAGATTGTACTTTTATACGAAAATATATTGTCAATTTTTATAGTTGTTGGCTAATTTTTAAAAGTTCAATAAACTAGCTTTGTTCATACTGCACAGCTCTATCAGTTCTAAACTGTTCTTCCTAGAGGTCCAGTAAGGATCATCTCTTATTGATCCAGTGTTACTACAGGTGGAAACCTAAACTAAACTAAGTTTATTTATAATGGATAGCACTATTAGTTCTAAATTGTTCTTCTTAGAGATCCAGCAAGGATGATCTATTATTGACCCAGTGTTACTACAGGAGGAAACCTAAACTAAACTAACTTTATTTATACATGATAGCACTATCAGTTCTAAACTGTTCTTCCTAGAGGTCCAGTAAGGATCATCTCTTATTGATCCAGTGTTACTACAGGAGGAAACCTAAACTAAACTAACTTTATTTATACTGGATAGCTGTATCAGTTCTAAACAGTTCTTCCTAGAGTTCCAGTTAGGGTCATCTCTTATTGATGCAGTGTTACTCTAGGTAAAAACCTAAACTAAACTAGGATCATCACAAAGGATTATCACTTTTTGACCCAGTGCTAAAACCCACACTCAAAGTATTTTCAAACTCATTGTTGTTTAGCGTAGCCGCAATTTTCCCTTTCGTAAACGATCGTTGCCAACAAGAACGGCGCGTTTTCTTTCTCTTCAGGATGGTGGACTAAAATTGCTTGGCTGTTTTACTTTGGCCTATTTCATAATTTCAAGTCTAATACCATGCATTCAGCTTCATGTTACTATGCTAAACCTCCACGAAGAATTTTTAAAAAAGCGAATGAATATGATGAAATTGCTTCCTGTCTCATTTAGTCATTTTAATTCAAAAAAAAGCGAGCATACAGTGAACCCAAAGCAAATACGCGGAATTGTTTTTAAATTCCGCCAAATTAACATAGTTGATATGTAGGCGCGCATAAACTATTGCCATTCGAGCCCTGCGATCGTTTGGAAGCGCTCATATTACTGGGAAATGTGCATGTTCAACGCCTGGCGCTATCAAATTTCCTTTGTTTTAGCGTTTACGTGTGGACGGGCAAAAACGATTCAAAATACGCTTCGTGTGAACGAAAAAACCTCAGTTTTTAAAAATATCCGGATACGTGTGGACAGGGTCTTAATAGAATTCCAGACCATTAACGATGTTTCTTTAAAGTTAAAGATGGAAAGAAACAGACGAAGGGATTTTTAATTCAAAAATTATAGATGCCATCACTACACTAGAAATTGGTTCACTAAAAGTTAGGGTTTTTAGAGTTAATAATTTGCAGATCCGTTGGAGGGGGGGGGGGTTAGGGGTGGCTATTGATCTTTTCTAGCCTAAGTTAACCTAAGTTGAATTTTAGTTTCTGTCATAGTCATACCGGCCTAAAAATGTTTTTGGTGGGTGGAAGCAAGAGAGCATGATTTTAGAGAAGTCACGAGTGCAAATTTTATCACTGATATTAATAAAAGTTGTCCAGTTTCAAGATTTAAATATTTTTCCCCAACCTTGTATGCTTATGCTTTCAGACACAAGCCTGCTCTGTTAAAAATAATAAAACACTACTGAACTGCAAAATGGATAGGTAAAAATTTAGTAGGAGTTTAATACAACTGACCCTAGATACATTTTAATTGTTTCAACTGATAACATTTGCAATTGCCTGCAGACTTAATTGTCCTGGTTAAGAAAAAAAATATTGTAATGGAATATAAATTAAAAAAGTCAACTACATGTACAAATACTGTGCAGTCAGTGCCAGTGATGTTGCTGTTTCTTGTGTCTTTGCATGCTGCCTTTTGTACTGAATCCTGAGTGACATATTTCGTACTCTAGCTTTATACTTGCATGCACTACTTGATGCCTCTTTAGATTGCGCTTGTTGGCAAAACACTTGTCACAATCATCACACTTGTATGCTTGTGTATGCACCAAACTGATATGGCTGTTAAGTAAATGCAGGTTTTGGAAGGACTGACCACAGTCTTCACAGGACGGCAACCCTTCTTGTGCAACCGAAAATCCTTTTCATATAGCTAAATTGTCCATGGCAATTAGGATAGTTTTTGTTTTTCCTCCAATAGCCACATATCTAAAACCTCACGTCTCTTCTGGGCTTACAGCCTCTAATCCTGTGAATGATAAAATAATATTGTGTGATTAATGTTAAGATACATTGCATGTAAATTGGATTTTTTATCCTTTGGTAACTGCCATACTTAAATCTCCGTCAGCATTTAAGCAATATATAATTTTAAAAGCAGTATATATTGGGATAATATTACTAAATATCTGATACCTTGTCTTAGTTTTGCAAGCTAAAATTTTTCATCACTTACTTTTCTTCTTCCTCTCCCAATGTCTCTCCACAACTTTGAAGCTACTGTGCAAACCTTTCCAATATCAGAGTCCTTGCTGGGCTTGTCCTTAATAGCTAGCTATTGTAAAACATTATATAGGTATATTTTTTGTGAAATTACATTCATTGCTAAAGTAAAGTATCATATTTGATAGTAGTCTAAGGTTAAGGACAACATCACTGCTAGAAATGACTTGTGTTATGACTTAAAGCCTTTCTAATTCTAACAGACCAAATGAAGACTATAAGGTGAGTATGGTTATACTGTGGTGGTTTATACTCTATATGCATATTTATAATACGAGGTATGTTCGTTTGTTATTTAAATTAACCTTATCATTTATGCATGATTTCGCTGCCTGAAGCATAATTTTACATTGATCTATAATGTATGAATAAAATCAACTATCTATGACTAACCGCAACTTTTTGATAGAAAATATTCCAGCCACATGGCTTTTTTATTAATTTCTTTTCTGCCACCATTTCTTTGAATACGCACAAATTGTGACTGTTGGCTTTGGAGTGGATACTTAGGGAAAAAAGGGGATATGATGTTGGCATCGACTGTTCATGTTGGTAACGACCGTTTACGAAAGGGAAAATTGCAGTGGAGCCCTGATTGGCTCTAATTTCCTGCCATTGCCGGGGAAACCGTTTAATGGGGTCCATGAACCTCTCCAAGCAATGTGTTTCAAAACGATTCCAGCGTCGCTATTCTCTCCATCGTCACTCGGAACAGTTTGATTACGTTTCGCTTTCTTCTTCTTCTTTCGTTTCTTCTTAGTTACTGCTTGGTTTTCACTCTCGTTTAGTTGATGAATATTTTCTGACAGAGGTTATTCGATTATATCTTCGGTATTCTGTTCATTAACCTGATTACAAGAGATGTTATTATTTTAGAACTGATAGAGCTATCCAATATAAATAAAGTTAGTTTAGTTAAAATACAATTTACCACGTTTTGTGATTCAGGTTGTTCCACATTTTCGTCAACATTTTCCACATTCTCTTCCTCAAATTCTAATTTTTTTTGTTCCGTTTCCCTTCGTTTTCGAGAGACCCTTTACCCTTGGTAACACCTTAACAACAAGTCGTTTTCAAAAGTGTTACTTTTTTGGTAACCGACGAGTGTTTGAAATCGTATTTCAAGAAAAAAGCTTCAATTTTCTGAATTATTGTAAAAATTGAACTTACATTTCTAAAAACAACGCCTTCGTCATCAGAATCGACAGTCTCTTTATTTTTAGCGGCTTCCTTTTCTCGTTCGGCGCGTTCTCTGAAATATGAAATGAAAGCGTGAAATAGCCGAAGGACAACAGAATACATAGGCAGGGTAGTTATGGACATAGATATACAAGAAAGGGTGCAAAGATGACGTAAAATCGGCATGATGTAGGGACATATGTACACAATTTGAGTGTGTGGGGATGGATATTTGGATACAACTAAAGGTGTAGAGATGGATATTTGGATACAACTAAAGTGTGGAGATGGAGATTTCAATAAAACTAAAATGTGGGGATGGATATTTGGATACAGCTATATGTCGCTGAATTTCTGAAGCATTTCAAGGGATCTTTGACAATGACTATCAACAGCATAGCATTAGCAAGAGCCCCGAAGGAACACACGACGAATATTGACAGGTATCTAACATCAGTTTCCTCAGAGAGAGCCGGCATATTGCACGCGCGATAGAGCCACTTCGATGAAATTAAACAGGAATGACAATATTTTGGATATATATATATATATATATATATATATATATATATATATATATATATATATATATATATATATATATATATATAAAAGTTGCGTTGTGCCAAATACAAGTGTAGATATAGAAAAAGGTTGCTTGTCAACTAGAGAGATATTATTCGAACATAACCACTGCTTTGTATTTTTTAATATCACTTTATTCACAAACGTTTTCGCTCTCTTAGCTCTTCAGGTGATAAATGATGACAGTGGTTATTTTGTTTACTTACATATAGTGTAATATGATACATCCTATTTAGTGTGACTATGTTAAAGTTGTGTTATTTACAAAGATAAAATTAGCATGCATTAAGATTAGGTTCTAGTGTTCTAATTATTTGTTTCTCTTTGGTCTCTCTTATTAGTCTATTAGCGTTGATACACTTATAGATCGGCATAATGTTAAAGTTGCCTTTGCTACATTTAGATAGGTGTTCACTCTTAAATGTCGTATTCTTTGTGTCTAATATGCTGCTTATGGCAAAGTTACTCTGTTTCTGAGGTTTTCAGTCGTTCCCACGTAGAAACTGTTTGCAATTTGGGCATATTATGATGTAAATAACTCCTTTAGATTTACAGTTCATGTCATATTTTACCGTCCACGTTTTTCCATTCTTCAGTTCAATTTTGTCCCCGGTGATTATATGAGGGCATGTGCCGCAACGAGGTTCATTGCACTTTGTCACAGTTGGCGTGGCGTTGGACGTTGAAAATTCCGCTTTCGTTAAAATTCCTTTTAAGTTTTTCGGTTGTCGTCTGGTTACAATAAGATTTGTTTTCTCTATTGTACTCCTTAATTCGTCTGACAAATTTAAAACTTTCACTGTTTCCCTTACTTTCCCAATAATGCTAGGGTTATTTGGATTGTGTGTTAACACTAGAGGTAATATTCTGCCTTCGGGTTCCTTCGCCTTTGGTGTTCTTAATTCCTCGATACTTTGGCCTTTCGCTTTTTCGAAGCTTGAGTTAATTAAGGTTGTTGGATAGTTTCGACGTACGAGAAATATTCTAAGTTCTTCCAAGCGTTGTTCACGAATTTCATGGTTTGCGATAATCGTGCAAATTCGTCTAGCTAATGTGTAGGGGATGTTGGTCTTACAGTGTTTGGGATGGCAGGAGTTGAAGTCGAGGTACTGGTGGGAGTCTGTTCCCTTGTAGTAGATGTCTGTGTAGATTGTTCTTCCGTCTTTACATAGTAAGATATCTAGAAAAGGTAGTTGTGACTCATGTACTTCCATTGTAAATCTGAGTTTCGGATGAAGGTCGTTCAAAAGTGTGTGTAGTTCATCAAGTTCCTCCCGTGTTTTGTCCCAAAATAGGAAGCAGTCGTCCAAGTATCTTTTAAATATGGCGATGAATTGTTCTCGTTGTTCCGTGCCATAACGGATCTCGAATCGTTCATATAGGTGTTCACCGTCAGTGAACACCTATCTAAATGTAGCAAAGGCAACTTTAACATTATGCCGATCTATAAGTGTATCAACGCTAATAGACTAATAAGAGAGACCAAAGAGAAACAAATAATTAGAACACTAGAACCTAATCTTAATGCATGCTAATTTTATCTTTGTAAATAACACAACTTTAACATAGTCACACTAAATAGGATGTATCATATTACACTATATGTAAGTAAACAAAATAACCACTGTCATCATTTATCACCTGAAGAGCTAAGAGAGCGAAAACGTTTGTGAATAAAGTGATATTAAAAAATACAAAGCAGTGGTTATGTTCGAATAATATCTCTCTAGTTGACAAGCAACCTTTTTCTATATATATATATATATATATATATATATATATAATATAATATATTATATATATATATATATATATATATATATATATTAATTATATATATATATATATATATATTATTATTTCAAATCGTGCAGCTTTTTCTAGTTCATAAACACAGTTTAATAATTGAGCGGTGTTTTTTTATCAATAAGCCAGAGTTTCATGCAATTTCCTGAATGCATTATATATTATATTGAATTGAAATTTGTCTATTAAAAACACTTAGTGATGAATCGGAAATGACGCGTGATATATTCGACTCATATTGAATTTGACACTGTCAGAATAAAAATGAATATAGCTTAAAATGTATATAGGTCAATAATAACAATATAATTTATTAATTTAACACTTGTATAGCCCTATTTACAACAAAAGATCAATAGCGCTTAACACGTTATGTTCAATAAGAAATCTTACAACTAGTAGCTATATGCAAGATAAATTACAAATGTAAGATAAGAACAAGAGTAGGTCTATACATTACTTCTATGCTCACTTCACTTCACTTTACTTTAGTGTTAATGTGTATTTTAAGGCGGTAATGCCGAGTATAGGTGAGCTAGGGTAATGAATTACGATTTTGTGCCGCTTCACTCGATGTAGGTAAATTCTAAAGGTTTTTAAAGGTCTTAATTTCGAGTGGAATCATACACAACATTAAAACAACTCATTCTGTTAGTCCAGACAGTAAAAATTTCAAGGACTGCATGAAGATTTTAAATAGGCATTGAACCAATGATTAAACTTTCTTCTTCGCAAAACGCCACAAAGGAAACTCCTAATTTCCACAGCGAAACACAAACAATATCGTTTTGCGATAGTTTTTCAGTCGTACGAAAAAGATGAGAGGGTTTATGGCGAAATTTAGACACAACAATGTCATCAATGAACCGTAAACATAGTTCAAGCCATTTTTCAAAAGCTGATCGGTAACAACCCGACCGTAGATGGCAACTGGAGTGAGACACCCAACGGCAATAACTGTAATGAGAATCACAGTTCGCATAAACCTTTCACCCGCTACACGAAGTCTATGACCATACCTCGCTTCGTTGGTGCCTTGGAGCGTTTTAACTTGCCGTTTTAAGGCCAAAAAAGCCAGAAAATACATGATTATAATCATCACGATGATTCCAGTTAAAATCCCGTATTTATACGCAATATACTCCTCGTTTGGTCTCGTTGCAATAACGAAATACAAAGGGATCGCTACGTTTAAGAGCCAAATCGCCATAATCCAAACGGCAGCTTTCTTCCCGCTCATCAAAAATTGGTGTTTAAATGGGTGAGCGACCATCTTGTAACGGTCGAAAGATATGGAAAGGATTGTCAAAATCGACCCGTAGAAAAACGTGTAAGACATTAGACGCAAGAGCGGTTTCAGCGAAGAGAATGTTCCAAAAGTCACCTGCAGTAAAACCCCCAAATCGCAAACCGCTAGATTTCCAATGAGATATGTCGACGAGTTCCGAAAGCATTTCAAAGGATCTTTTATGAGACAAACCAGAAGCAGAACTTGGGATATCGCTCCAGTTAAACACACGATATATACAGGCAGAAAGGCAGGGTTGTACCCGGCGAGAATGCTATCGACTGGCATGAGATCTTCAGAAGAGAAATATCAGAATTTTCAAAAGAAAGACATAATTATGTGAGCACAACCCGGTTGTTGTTCGCCTTAACGACAGCTTTCCAAGTGTTTTGTTTATTTATATTAAGAAAACTTTAATATCAGTAATGAATTATTAATATATGATTCGCACCTGCAACTTGCAATGCAATACTACTTTTAAGAGATGTAAATTAGTACAGAGTATTCAAAATGTAAGTGAAAGAAACGTACATGGAGTGTAGTAAACATAAAAGTTTCGTAGTTGCCCAATTTGGATCTCTTAAAAGCAGAATTGCATTGCAAGTTGAAAGAAAAATTGCACCGTGTAACATGACCTTTAGTATTTGCGAATTTCATTTTCGCAGTAATTTTGTATTTAATTCCAATATATTTGAACCTTTCTAAATACCGTTTTAAAGACGTTGGCAGGTAAACAGCGAGACGCTGGCAATGAAATTGTATTTTCTAAATGCCTTCTACGAAACGACGGCTACTTTGAAAAGATATTTAGAGTTATTTTATCGCATTTATGTTATGAAAGTCGGGCTTTCATATTTTATTTAATTTTGCTTTCGGCCGCGTCAACTTGTACTGGTTAAAAATTAAAAGGAAAATATATTTAAGAAGTCTATTTTAATTTTAAAACGTTAGTCCTAAAGTCAATATTTATTACAAATATTTGACACTATTAATTAGGGGCCGGTTGTATCCAACCCGTTTGGCTTAAACGGTTGATAAGTAAAAATTAAACAACACTCTTATATCTCTCTTGAATGAGTCAACTTGAATATTATGCACTGAATATGTAGTTGTAAACAGTATTTTTGCATTGAGGTAAAAACATTTAGTTCGCTTGTTGAATAAAACGATGCAGCTGATCTGAGATTATGACGTCATAAAGCGTCTCGACAACTGAAAACTGAGTTATCATGTTCCTGCATGGTGTTATTTGTCCCTATTCTTCTTGGGAAAAATAAACGTGTTTTCACATAAATATAATAAAATTACTTGATATATTCGAGTGTCGAAGTCATATAAAACTCATAATAATATCTCAATACATATATTGTTAACTTTCGACACTATGTACAATAAAAAGATAAAAAGATAAAAGGGTAAGGCGATTAAAAGTACTAGTTTCGTCCTTCGGACCTTTTCAACAAATTGCCATATTGTATAGGTTTTACTATATGGCGATTTGTTGAAAAGGTCCGAAGGACAAAACTAGTACTTTTAATGGCCTTACCTTTTAGCTTTTTATCTTTTTATTGTACATAGTGTCGAAAGTTAACAATATATGTATTGAGATACTATTGTGAGTTTGAGCAGAACTTTCGATCTTGGCTGCAGCAACAGATATCGAAGTCATATGCAAAGTCATATCCAGACATCGAAGTCATATGCAAAGTTAGAAAAGAATAATTCAGTTTTGTCGAAGATCTGACTTCTGCTTGGTTGAGCTTTATACCCAGATCAGCTGGATAGACTTGCTTTCTATTTTGAACTTATCCACCGTTTAAGCTAAACGCGCTTGATACAACCGGCCCCGGAACGCGAACATAAATGACAATGATAAATTATCAACCTCGCGAGGAAACGTCGTTTCTCCTCAGTGGAAGAGTATGGTCAGTTCATGAGTTAACAAAACTATCTGTCAGTGTCTCTTGTTAACCCATTAGCTTGCAATGCACCCCCGTTTAGTACTTTACTCTGTCTAATACCAGATGAGTTTACTCATGGGGGCCTGGGGCTAGATGTATAAAAGACTAGTTAACTTTTAGCTGTAGTTGTAAAATTCATGAATAATTAATGAGTCTAACTTGCAATCATTGCGCAGTATTTTGGTCACATATATACATCTGTAATTCTCCATAATTCATGAGAATTATTAATTAATATACTAACTTTGATACACCTAATCTTAATTAGTATTCATAACTTTGTTACACACATGCCCTAATATGCATTAAGCTTAATTTATTCATTTCTCAAGCACGTTAATACGCACTCGCCATTGTAAATACTCATACAGATCAGCCGCTCGTATTTTAAATAGTATACTTAATGGACAAAATTGGTCAATCAAAGTCGTTTATTTCTGAGTTAACTAGGATTTAACAACCGGCCCCCAGTTGTATAAAAGGTTAGTTAACTTTTAAGTGTAGTTAAAGGACAGAATTGGCCAAACAGAGTCGTTTATTTCTGAGTTAACAAGGTTTTAACAACCGAGCCCCAGTTGTATAAAAGGCTAGCTAACTTTTAAGTGTAGTTAAAGGACAGAATTGGCCAAACAGAGTCTTTATTTCTGAGTTAACTAGGATTTAACAACCGAGCCTCAGTTGTATAAAAGGCTAGTTAACTTTTAAGTGTAGTTAAAGGACAGAATTGGCCAAACAGAGTCGTATATTTCTGAGTTAACTAGGATTTAACTATGCAAAGTTTAGTTAAAAAGTTTTATACAATCGACCCGAGTGGAAGAGTGCTGCCAAGTAACGAGTTAACAAAACTATGTGTGATTGTAGTCTTGCTGCAGTATTTTACTCTTTATTTTGCGTCCACACTTGCATATTTAGGTGGGATTTTATGTGCGATTTCCTTCTAATTTTGGTAGATGTGAACGAGTGACTATAGTTACGAATGCATTGATGTATAAGAGCTCTTACGAGAACATCCGTAACTAATTCACTCGTTCACATCTGTCAAAAGGAGAAAACCGCAGCAAATATCGCAGGTTAAACATTGCCAGAGTTCACTGATCTTAAACCAGTTTGTTTACAATGCATATATATCCGTCAGATAACAAACTTTTCACTAACCTTTCTTCCCGATTTTTTCTAACCCTTTCCAAGCGCTCAGCCCTCGTCTTCTTCTCGGCCTCTTTCTAAATTAAAAACAAGCAATGTTCTATGTAAAACACATTCTTTCCGAGTGATAAACAAACTGTTGCGAGAAAACGCTGACACAAAATCGATCACAAATGCACCTAAATAGTTAACTGACTGATCTCAAATGTATGTTTGTAAGGTCACACGCCAACCTTGACAGGATAGCTCGCTCACTGATCTCAAATGCAAACACTGATTATGCAAACACTGATTTGTAACTGGCAATGAACAGGGTAAAACTGAACTAAAAATCCAATCTGCATGGATCAAATCAAAGATGGCGGATAGTGAAGCCTTTCTTGTAGGTACGATCCAGGCCTCCACGCGGATATTTGGTAGGTAAAATGGCGGCAATTATAACTTTACCTTTGAAATTTCCGCGCCAGTGGCCTGGACTTTTCTACAAGAAAGACTTCATGATCCGCTATCTTGGCTTCACTCTGAGGGAAAGTCAGAGAGTGAGCGTTCCAGTCTTATTTCAGTTTACTTGAAAAGGCTGACACAAAATAAATTGCGATGGCAACTTCACACCAACATACCTGAATCTCAACATCTTTCTCAACTTGCTCCTTCAAAGATACAAAATCCTCATTCATAGTTTGTAACAACCACCATAAACCTTAAAATTAGATATTAAAGCTTTCAAACATAACAGTTACATGCATGTACATGTGTATCAAAATCCAACAACCGTATGTAGAAAAAACACAAGCCTTGGCCAGCCTTGTACCCAGGCGCATTAATAGTAAAATCATGGTAAAATATATAACGTTTCATTCAGTTATTATATAGAAGTCAGCTGAAAGAAGGCGAGCGCGCGGTGGTGCTTGGGCTTAGCTATAACTATTCAAATAGAATACATGTTGAGGCCTTAATACAGCAAATGAACTCTGTATCTGAGCTGGAGCAATATAATACACGAGGCCGGTTGTATCAAGCCGGTTTAGCTTTATCGGTGGATAATTCAAAATCAAATAACATTCTTACATCTCTCTTGAACGAGTCAACTTGAATATTATGCACTGAATATGTAGCTGTAAACAATATCTTTGCTTTAAGATTGAAAACATTTAGTTCGCTTGTTGAATAAAACGATAGACTTGCTTTCTATTTTGAGTTTAACGACCATTTAAGCTAAACGGGCTTGATACAACCGGCCCCTGGTATTTAGTTGCAAGTAACAATGTTAAATCCTATTCTGGAGAATACTATTTATTGTAGCTGATTATATAAAAAGTAAAACGACAGTATTCATTCAACTATGTAGAGCGTACGAGGCACGATACATGTTCATATATTCATGTTAACAGGCCTGTAAAAACCATAGCCGGCCCCAAATTGTACGAGAAATTTTTCGGTAATTACTCCGGCGTCAGCGACGGAGTTGAAAATTCGCCTCGGTTTTGTTTTGTTTTTGTTTTTTTTTTTTTTATTTTTTTTTTTATTATTTTTCGTCGTCGCAAGTGTGTAATGGCGCGAAACATTCTAGTATTTAAATGTGTATGTGATTGGATTTATCTATGTCCCAGTCTTATCTCCCAAGAGTTGTGGTGTACAGCTTTGGCTAATTTTCCGATGCGCGATTCGATTTCGCTCGCATGATACGGCAATTCCTCCAAGAGGAACAAATAAACCGTTCTTTTCATGCTTTTCGATTAAGTTTAGACTGAATTGGGGTAAGAATATATTTAATACGTGTAGATTCTGGTCCTATTTTAGTAATATCGCTGCTATTTCGCCGTTTAACAAGATGATGTGGTCGTGTATGGGCGCTTTGACTCGTCGTAGTTTGCACAGGATTGAAGATTTAATATAACTATATAAGCGCGAATTCCAAAGGCAAAGTGTAAGACAAAGCGAATGTATTATACCATTTATTTACATTCTTGAACGATTTAACTTTTATACTTTTTAAAGTACGATGTGCTTCTGAATTTCGCGATCGAACATTTAGGTTCGCAAGGCATCTAAATGCGAATATGAACTGTATTGTTTATGTTCAGAAGCTCTATATTGAAAACTGGCACGTGCGCCGGAGTTAACGCCAGAACAGGCGTCTTGTTTGTCAATATAAAGCCGGTTTTATTGGAGCAATTAGTTCCAGATGGTTGCAGTTGAATGCTCTGAAACAAAAGTAAAATGTCGCTTCACACGAAAAATATCGCAGAATAACGTAAGCGGACGCGAATGTGGGTTAAGTGTAGTGGAGCTACAGAAAAACATCCTGTAGTCCTGTAAGAGATGCGTCAGGGAAATGCATCAAAAGCATCATGTTTTGTTATTATAAATATAGGTTAAAATCATTGTTGTAAGTTAGTTGTGTATTAAGCCGCGTTTACACTACGTGCTTTGACCTGGCCTGGACCAGGCCTAGATGTGAACGTTGTTTACCCAGCCTACACCAAACCTGGACCTGGACCAGGCCACAAAATCCAGGACAACACGGTGAGCAGAAGGTAGCTTGTACCTGACCTAGGGCAAGATTTTGGTAATGTGAACAGGCTTTACCTATAGTCCTGACCAATTTTTAACTTGATATAGTATGATTTGTATAGGATTCATATAAGTATTACCCCTTTTCGGGGTATTCTGGGTCTTTTTCCAAGTATTTTGTCATCTACTTTGACTATCCGATATCATCAACAAGGCGCACATATTACCTAGACTTGTCTTAGACCTGGTCCAGGTCAGGTCTAGGTCTGAAGTGTAAACGCGGGTTTAGAGCGTGAATTGTTGTAAAGAGTTGATTTCTGAATAAATGTAAAATTATACACAATCACAGAGTGTGCAATTTTGGACAAGCGTAGCGGAAAATTAGACTTGTTTGGTCCCCCACCTAACGATTTCCGCTGAGCGCTGTCGTTCAGCCTCTTACAGAAGAGCAAGTTTTCTATGACAGGGTTGGATGTACAGTTGGGTGTACAGACAAACAATTAAAACTTGTTACAAAAACTTGCTCGTCTGTAAGAAGCTTAAGTCGCCTACGGTAGTTAGTGAAACTATTTTCAGTTTTGGATTTAACCACCAATTAACCACCCCAGGCAGAGAATTGTGGTGTAAAGACCGGCGCACACTAGAGCCATGTGCCAGTTGCTATCGTGTGCGGGCGACTTCTTCGTCGACTTTGGTCATTCGTGTCACTTACGGCAAATGTCTAGCATGTTTGATAATTTCTGCCTCGCGTGCCGAAATCTTTCCGTGTGCGGCAAACTGAAAGCTATCTGCTTACGGATTGTTTTAACAGCGCATGCGTAGTATATGGCCTCAGCCACCAACTCATTTTGCACGCACCACCATCTTGAATGCTTACTTTCCTATACTACACATGCGCTGTTAAGACAATCCGTAAGCAGATAGCTTTCATTTTAAAATAGTCGCAAACGGAAGGATTTCGGCAGGCAAGGCAGAAATTATCAAACATATGAAATATTTGCCGTAAGTGTTCCGAATGACCAAAGTCGCCCGCACACGAGAGAAACTGGCTTGCACGCCAATGGCCACGAATGACTTTTGCTAAGCACATAGCTCTAGTTTGCGCCGACCTTAAGGTCTACCGTTTAACCATTTACAGTGGCGTAACCAGCCTGACGATTTTGTCCCGCTATGCAAATTTCAAGTTTTTATATTCATATATATTTCACATTCATATATTATGGTCTGCAGTGTTTTGTTCTACAAATTTTAAAAACAAACCTTTCTTTAGCTGACTGTCAATTTTTCGACCCTCATTGAGTAAAGCTGTGCACTGGAACTGAAGAAATATTTCAGTTAATTCATTTTACAATTGCATGGGATTTGGATATTAAGACAGGGGACAGTTTCATAGAGTTATATTCCAGCATTAATTAATATCAATAAGAGATGACCCTTACTGAACCTCTAGGAAGAACAGTTTAGAACAGATAGAGCTATCCAGAATAAATAAAGTTAGTTTAGTTTAGGTTTCGTCCTGTAGTAACACTGGATCAATAAGAGATGATCCTTACTGGACCTCTAGGAAGAACAGTTTAGAACTGATAGATGTATCCAGTTAGTTTAGTTTAAGTTTCCTCTTGTAGCAACACAGGATCAATAAGAGATGAACATTACTGGACCTCTAGGAAGAACAGTTTAGAACTGATAGAGCTATCCGGTATAAATAAGGATAGTTTAGTTTAGGTTTCCTCCTGTAGTAACACTAGATCAATAAGAGATGATCCTTAATTACTGGACCTCCAGGAAGAACAGTTTAGAACTCGTAGAGCTATCTAGTATAAATATAAAGTTAGTTTACTTTAGGTTTCTTTAATCAATAAGACATATGAACATGCAGTAGAATTTAGTTATTTTTACTTACAACTTTATAATGACTTTTGCATCTCTTTGCCAACTGCTGTAACTCAAATTCCATATCAATATCTTGTTCAGACATTGCTCCATCAATGTCTTGTTTATTTGCAAACCTGTATATTAAAACATAAAGGTACAATGTTTATATATATTATACTAACTCAGTATCGGATCAGGAATAGATTTCCTGAGGGCAATGCGGCAGGGCCCCTGCCAGAGGCATACCCCTTTATTCTAGGCTGGAGGGATGAAACTGGGGTGTAAATTTAGATATCGGGTAATTATTAGGGAATTATGAAAGGCAATTAATTATAGTATCAAGCTATTATTTCAGTTGTTAACTTAGGAGTTTAGAAACTTTAATTAATGCATGTCTTTGATAATCCAAGCAGCACCATCTCATTTCCAAAATATTTTCAAACAAACATATCAAAAATAAAACTATTAATACAGTAGGTACTCATACCCAACTGGGGGCTAGCTCTGCACACCCCTTGGCCTCACAGGGGATGGTCCACACCCCTGACAAAACCACCCCAGGTTTCTGACTGTGCTAGACAAACCACAGTTTAAAATAGAATATACATGGTTTGGAGACCACATATAAATTAACTACAATACAACTCATTAACTATGTTGAGGTAGATTTAGGCAAAAAATTGTTCCTTTCTCATCACATGTCTATTGTATTTTGCACAGATGAACCAATAGCAATCTTATAATAAACATATTTTTCAAGTCAAGGTTCATGAGCTTTACAGCAAGACGAATGCCATTGGTAATTTTGGCTAAATCACAATAAATATATGTGACGAGAAGGAACCATTTTTTGTATATAAACCAGGGCAATATAACATGTTAATGAGTTGTATTGTGCTTTTATTTAATCTCCAAACATGTATTATCTATTAACTGTGGACAAACCGACTATCATAGCCAAAGATTGCAAACTTTAGGTAAGGAACTAAGTCACTCAAAATAGATAACTTCTATATTCACACAACAAAAGGTTTCCCAGAGAGTCTTGAGTCTGATAATGCTTCATGTAAAACTGCTCTGGAATCTGCTATTCTCTCACGGTCACTTGCGTCTACAACATAAACAATGCCAAATATCTGAAAAAGAACACAATGTCATTTATTCAGCACCTGTTGACCAAATTGAAATGACCTAGAATTGGACAGGAAAGAATACCAAAGCACTCAGAACCTCTGTGCTTGTATATGTGTATATGTACCTCCGCATAATAATCTTTCCATATTCCTATGATACGAGGTCCACCACCAACATCATAAGCTGTCACTTTAAAATTCAATAACTTGAACTCCGCACTGGAAAACCCGATTGTTGGAACTGTCAACTCTTTGGGTTCTAAAAGCCAAAATGAATATATTTTGTTAACAACCATCCCGCATTAGACAGAGTAGGAAGCTAATGGGTTAAAAAAGGACACTGACAGATAGTTTCGTAAACTTATTAACTGACAGCTAGTATACTCTCCCACTGATGAGTAAAATCATCTGGTATTAGACAGTGGAGTAAAATACTAAAGTAGGCCACATCTAGGTGCATTGCAAACTAATGGGTTAAGAAGAAACACTAAAAGATAGTTTTGTTGATGCATTAACTGACAGTACTCTTCTACTGATGAGTAAAATCATCTGGCATTAGACAGAGTAAAATACTAAAGTTGGCCACATCTGGGTGCAATTTGCTAGCTAATGGGTTAACAAGAGACACTGACAGATAGTTGCATTAACTGACAGTACTCTTCCATTGATGAGTAAAATCATCTGACATTAGACAGAATAAAATACTAATATACTGGTATCAATATCTGCCTATATTTTAAAACATGTCAAACTTTTTATCACAGTATGATTCAAACTCTCATCAGTAAGAAGATATTAAATTCATAAAAAGGCTTTAAATAATATCTTAATACCTCCTTTCAAATCATTGATAATATAGTTGATTTGCCATCGTTATCAATTCCTAACATAAGAAGTTTGACATCTCTACAAAACAAAAATTTAAAAAAAAACTGTAACAATTAAATACCACCTAAAACTAGATAGATCGTTGGTAAAGAAGGTAAGTCGTATTCAATCGGCTTTGATCGGCGAAAGAAAAGCATTTTAATTCTCTGAACAAAGCAAAAAGAAGCAGTTTTGTACCAAAATTTGTCGCAAATCAAAACTAAATTGAAATTCGATTCTATAGACCAATTGCGAAACTTAGTAACCGCGCCTTCGCATAACATGGGTCATGGAAGCGAGGCTTATTGTGAAAAAAACAATATTTGTATTTTTTGCCGTACAAAGCTATCCGCCGAGTTATATCCCGGTTTTCGCCTTTGGTTTACATATTTTTCGATACCTTTAAAGCTCGGTTTCATCGTTGTTATCATAGTTTTAAGGTGAGGGAGTTTCGCCTTTCATTTGAGGCGTTTTTGTAATGTTTTCATTAATTTTTTCGGCTGCTTTCGTTGGGGAAATATGGAAAAGGCCGACACAAACTCAGGTAAAAATTCAGTTTTTTCCAAGCTATTTTGTCTCAAGTCTTGAAAATTTATTTCATTTTTCTTCCTCTTATTTGTGCAAAATTTGGCGATATATATTTGGTGCAAAATCTATGTTTTTGTGACAAGGATTATTGAAAAGTCACGGTCGAACCACCACCATGTTTACATTTCTCATTTAAAATTATTTTACACCAATTTTATCGATCGATAAGCTGTAATTTCACAGCAATTTTACAGCTCAGGAAAAATTAGAAGAACTCTGTTGACAGAAACAATCGGAGATAAAATATACAACGGAGTTTTTTGGTTTATTTTCCCTGTGTATATAGACTACAGTACATGTGATGTCATGGCGACTCAAAAGCAAAACAACTCTTCAACTTGGCACACATGCATGACATGGATAGTAAAATACTTATTACCAAGACATAATATCATTCTCTATTTTGAATTACCATTTAATATTTCTTTTCCCACAATATCATACTATAAAGGTAGCCACAATGCGAGCAGCAGCGTTTTTTAAGATATACCTTTACATGATGGCAAAGCCGAAGGCGAAAAAAATATACAACCCCGAAGTTCGGAAGTGTTTTCCGTTTTATAATGCGATGGTGAACGGAATCCTTTCCTTTTAAAGTATTCCTGGTTAACCCTTATTTAAAACATCTATTGCATGGGAGTAGATAGAAAGAATAGTGTTTTGTAGTGACACAAAATATACAGAACGTCAGATGCGTTCGAATTCGACTTTTAAATAAAATTCGGCCTTCATGTCGGTATCCAAGCCATGCATCGTCTGTACTTTTTTAAAACGAAATAAACAAAAACATTTCAGTTAGTTACTTTTTGCCATTTTCACAGTATTACTCTGGTATAAAGATAAAAAATATAGTGATATTTGTGAATAAATTTCAACCATTTCAGTCATTAGGTGTGAAATTATAAAATCTGACTGTCACTTTTCATTTAGTTTTCAAAAATTTTTGTCACAAAAACATAGATTTTGCACCAAATATAAATCGCCAAATTTTGCACAAATAAAAGGAAGAAAAATGAAATAAATTTTCAAGACTTGAGACGAAATAGTTTGGAAAAAACTGAATTTTTACCTGAGTTTATGTCGGCCTTTTCCATATTTCCCCGACAAAAGCAGCCGAAAAAATTAATGAAAACATTACAAAAACGCCTCAAATGAAAGGCAAAACTCCCTCACCTTAAAACTAAGATAACAACGATGAAACCGAGCTTTAAAGGTATCGAAAAATATGTAAACCAAAGGCGAAAACCGGGATATAACTCGGCGGATAGCTTTGTACGGCAAAAAATACAAATATTGTTTTTTGCATAATAAGCCTCGCTTCCATGTTATGCGAAGGCGTGGTTACTAAGTTTCGCAATTGGTCTATCATAAAATGATTTCCTGTGCTTTTTAGTCGAGTGTAACCGCTCTGAATTATTCAGCAATCTACTGTGCCATGAAGCTGTTTTCACGCACAGCAAAATGAGTAAACAAGACCGGAAAGATGTCCGAGATTTTGGCTTAAAGCAGGAACGAAGACTTTACAAATGATTCTGAAATAAAATGTAAATATAACACAATATACAAACCTCGAATCCCGCTTGGATGTGCAAGAAAAACATTTCGAAATGTAATTGAACATACTTCGGTGTCTAGCACGGGATAAAGTAGCCTTTCTTTAGTAAAATCATCGTCGATTTAACGCACTCTTGCTCGATAAACCAGGGTCAAAACACAAGAGATTTGCTTTAGTTTTAGACATTGTGCTTGGAGCATTGAATGTTTCCACACCGACCACCCGGTTCTTTTTGAATTTTGATTAGCTGCCATGACAACCACTGAGCTTTGGAAAGAACTGGAGTAAAGAACGGCAAAA